GCTTAGGACAAGGCTTTACAAAACATGGAGCAGGGAACATAGGAAGTAAGCACCAGCATGACTGGGGTAAGGACACGATCACAAGGGCGAGGTTGACAACCCACAAAGGGACTGGCCATGTCCACCCTGGGCTCTGGAGCCCTAGGCTGCTGACCACCCTGCTGGAGACCACGTGGAGGGGAGGAGCTCAGCTGAGCCCAGCTTTCAGCCACTCCCACCCAGGCCCATGAGGGACACTGCCATGGGCCCTCCACATCAGCCCTGACTCTAGCTACTTCTCAGTGACCCTCCTGGATGCCAAGTGGGAGGAGGACCACCCTGATTCCACATGGTTCAGAGATATGAAACGGGCTTTGTCTTAGTCCACTGAGTTTTAGGAATATTATCCGCAGCGACAGATAACTTTAGACACTTAGAAAATACTGACCTAGACAATAGCTTTAAGGTATACCATTCTTCTCTGTTTTTTTCTTTCACTTTCTAACAGATTCTAAAGGGTCATGTTTGTGAAACTTTTACTCTTGTTTAAATCAACAAAACCTGAAAAAGACAGTACCATGAGAATTATTTTCCAAGCTGTCCAGGCTTTAATCACATGTAAATGCTAATTATGACTGGTTTATGCCATATTCCATCTGATGGAAAGAACAGGTATAAAATGAAAACCTTAAAACATATAAATAATAAAAAACTTTAAGATCACTTGCAACCTTTTTTCTTTTTTTTGCTTCTGTCTAAATGCTGTCACTTCCCAGTTTCCTATCTAGCTTTCAGTGCTGCCTGACTGCAAACCTGACCCACACACTCCTTGGTCACTCAGAAGCTGCTGAGGGGAGAACCAAACCCCTTCCTTCCTCCCCCAACACAGCTGAACTAAACCGGTTGCCAAAGTGACCCAGCATCAGTGTGGAAACCCCAGACCCCCCAGAGCGTGCAGAGGAACCTCCATGATGGTGGCAAACACAAAGGGGGGCTTCCCATGCCAGCCGGGGATCCCAAGCAAGTCACACTAAGCTGCTCTCATCCAAGAGGCAAAAACTGCCCTCAAAAGTTGTGGGTTTTAAATGTGAGAAATAACACGAAATGCAGAGACCTGCTCCTTATAAATATATACAGCAAAGCAGTTATTATATTACAGTATTAACTTATAATTATAATATAATCATATACTAAATCATAATTGCTTACTCATTCTCTCTATAAATTTTACTTTTTTGAAAAAAAAATTTTCTGCTTCCACAAATCATCAAATTTGCAGCAAATTTGATAGACATCTTGAAAGTGGGTCGTTTCAATTTTCAAACAACACTTTGAATTACTGCTAAACTCACAGCCTGAGGGGCCTTCACCAACAAGGCATGTGGATGCAGTCCCCCCACCGCTGCAACCTGCCTCCGTGGGGATGGCTTCCTGCAGGAAGAATAAAGGAACACTGTGAATCAAATATTTGTTTGTTTTTGGGTTTTGGGCAGCTGGCCAATAAGGGGATCCAAACCCTTGACTTTGGTGTTAGCACTTGAATCTAATTCTCACAAATAATTAAACACAACTAAAAATTTCAGGCTAAAGTTTAGAATATTTCAAATAAACCTGAATGGTACATTAAATCAGTTTTTTTACACATATTACCACTTTAGAAATGCTAAATACAAACTTATTAAGTTAAAATTTAATTGCCACTGTTTAACACTATTGATACTTTACCTGCCCAACACTGAAAACTTGGACAATTTTTCTCCTAGAATCAGAAATACAACAAAAAAACCTGGCCGATGAAATCTTCTGGTCCAAGTAGACAACCGGGCCTCACA